TCGACATGCTTCCTGGGTACCTGGCGAAGCCCATATATTCTGTATTTGGTCGTGTCAAGTTGTTCATAAATTTGGTAAAGTTCAACTCGTTTGTTTATGCTGTTCATATTGTGGGGATTGAGAGTCAATTTTTTTTAGTTGACAAGATAATCTTTATACAGAAAATTGCTCAGAACAACAACCATAAACAACAACAAGAAATCCAGGCTCGGTTCGTCCATAGAGCTCAGTCGTGCAGAGCCGCCCAAATTCTTTTAATGTTCTATTACGTAAAACACAAACAATAATAAAATAAAAGAAGTCAGAAACAAACACTAGCCAAATATTATATCAAAACAAAGGTCCTCACTGGCGCCGTAACTGTCATTTCCATGTCTATAGCGCAGTAAGACATTTACTTATCCATGCCAAAGTCCACGCGCTTTAGCTAAACAGAAAAAGATATTCAACCGTGTAACCTGACCTATAAATCGCTCTTGGGGATAACCCAAGCGATGACGACACTCGTAGCGAGTTTGGCGGTATATTAATGTTAATAAGCCGGCACATTTCAAATGTGCTCCTACCGAATAATGCCGAAACATACCCCTCAGTTGCCAGTTGGAATTCTAAAAATAAACACTATAGACCCTACGCTATTCTTTGTCAATATTATGTGACGTGAGCCCCGGAGCAATCCAGCGGAGTGCTCAGGTGAATTGTGATTGGTTCATTGTTTGTTTGTCTTGCCACTATTTTAAGTGACTCTGTAACCGTGAACCTGAGGGAGGTGAACGTGATCGTCCTAAGAGTTGTGCCTTTGAATGGGTTTGTAGTGGAGTAGTGAAAGTTAATTACATGTACTTGAGTGTTCAGTTCCAATACATGATGAATGAAATTGATGGTTAGCTAACAAACAAATTTAGTACTAGAAATCAAAGCGACAAGTAAAAAGAAAGAAAATAAAAGCTTGAGGCCCTCCCTCACCAACCCAAAGATCCATAAGTTATACGCCGTCTCATTTACTATGCCCTTGACTATCTTCAGCATGCCATAGCTTAATTATTATTGTGCACGCCCACTTTTTAGCTCCACGAGCCGCCCCTGAAGAAATCATAAGGTGAAAAAAACCCATATGTTTTTTGATCAGATGGGGGGGGGGGAGTAGCAATAATCATTTTGATTTGAAATCAAAGAATGGTGTGGAAGAAAGTATTTGTAAAAAGTGCGTGTGTGCACGTGCGTGAGTGCATGCGTATGTGCGTGCGTGCGAATGTTTCTGTATTGTTTCTTTGTGTGTAAAAAAAAGATATATATTGTGTCCAGAAAGGCAAATGGGAGGGGGGTGGGGGAGGAAGGGATGATATGATTCTGGTGAAAGAAGGAGAGAGGGAGTGAGCTCAGAGGGAGAGAGAAAGAGAGAGATCTAGAGGGAGAGAGAGAGAATGGAGGAAGAAGAGAGGGAGAGAGTTGAGGAAGGGGGAGAGAGATTTTTGGAGATAAGAGTGTGTAAGAAAGAAGAGAGACGAAGAAATTGTGTGATATTGGAAAGGAATAGAGATAGGGAGGAGGGAGGAGAGGGAGAGAGAGAGAGATAGAGAGATCTCTAGATGTACCAAGGCCGGTCCCGACGAATTCAAGCTATCCGTGTTATACTGTATATGACTGTGAGACTGTTTGTGAGAGCATGCAAATGCAATATTATATGTGTATGAATACACGTGTGTGTGTGTGTGTGTGTGTGTGAGAGAGAGAGAGAGAGAGAGAGAGAGAGAGAGAGAGAGAGTGCCAGGATCTAGGCAATAAGGATTTATCTTATCTTATAGTAGAGTGCCCTAAATCTCATCTTTTCTTACCTCGTTTCGTCTCATCTTATTGTACGTTATCTTTCTTTAGCTTGTCTTGTCTTATTAGCCTATCATCTCATCTTATCTTATCAGGGGACGGTTGGCAGGTGCTCTGGTATGGTTTGCATCTCTTTCCCCACTGAGAGAGAGGGAGGGAGAGAGAGAGAGAGAGAGAGAGAGAGAGAGAGAGAGAGAGAGAGAGAGAGATTTGCAATATATGATATTGGTTCCCTCTTTGTTATAAACATTGTAAGGTCTTTTAGAAGGCATTAACTTCCCTCTCACTGATGTGACAAACTTAATTGGCAATTTGTCAAGTGAACTTCTCAATCAACCTAAGAGCAAGAATGCATCTTGAAATATTTGAAGTGGGTGTTGGCGGGTGCTTTGGTATGGTTTGCTCCTTCTCTCTTATCCAACGTCTATCGTCCTGATTTGTCCTCACATTTTTATACGTTTGTTACTTCTCTCATCTCTATTCTTGGGCACTTATATACTCATTGTGTTGCAAGTGATGCAAAACTCTTACTTAGGCAAAAAACTCAATCCCCACAGCAAGGATATATTGTAAACTATATCTATAAAAATCCAACACATCCTTGTCTCTTGTGGTTATTCACTTAATTTAGCCAGACTTCATTCTGTCGTCAGTGAAGGGGATTTTGAACGTAAAAAAAAATACTATATATTAAACTTAACCACTTTGCACAAAAAAAAAAGAGTTAATAAACAGATTCTTTTTATTTCATGGGAAAGTTCAGATCACTCATCTTTTATTCAAATTCTAGGAGTATTAATTTCAGCTTCCCTGTCAATAGTTAATTGTTTCACTGTAGGATCTGTAAAGTTTAAGTCTTTGTCTGCACTGTGAAAAGGATGAGTGGTTTGTGGGTATTTAGTCTTATTTTTTCGACATCTTTGTGATGTCACTTTGGAGTTAATCTGCTCTTTAGTAATAGCTATATATTGCTTTCGTGCTGTGAATTTCATGCCAAGTCCTCAGAGCGTGAAACCTGATCTCTTTCAGTTTATACAAAAAAATTATCATTTTATTTTTTTGTTTGTCAGAGTTCCCCCTCGTGGAATTCTGCTGAAAATAGATCAAGTGTTTCAAGCAAAAATAATAAAATACCAAAACTAATACAAATAAAGCCCATTTTCTTTCTGTAAATTCATCACCAATTGTAAACAAACTTTATAAATTCATGTAAAGAACGTCTGTTCACATGCATAATCTTGGCTGTCTTATCTTTTAAATGAAAAAAAAAGCACAATAGGCCCAGAAACCACTGGGAATGGGCCAGAATTGTTCCTAGTGTCGCTGGGAAAAGGCCGAGAATTAACTATTCCCAGTGATACTGAAAACAGGCCCATTATTGTTCCCGCACTTTGTTTCTTTCTTTGGGTCGTATTTTGATAAATAAAAAGTCATATTTTTTTGTGTGGAATTACGTCTTAGAAGTAGGGCCTACATGTTAGATCCCATTCGAAAGGGATTTTTTTCAGAGAGTTTCAAAGGCTAGATCTATCTGTTTAGGTATCACAAACCATTTTTTTCTGTTAGCAAATACATGGAATTCTCACAACATGGGATAACAGGATTCTACAAAAAGAACGTCACAAATTTTATTACATGTTAAACAGTAGTCCTAAGCTATCTCATGTTGTGATGTCCAGTTGTGGTGAAAAACAAGAATTTGGCTTCAATTTGCGTTTTTGGAATAATTGGCAGACTGCTTCTAAAATTACATGTTTGTGATTAATTTGATTTGTACAGCTTGTTCACTTGTTTTCTTGTAGACTACATGTTTTCTTTGATGTTAGCCTATATTGGGCCAAAAAAAAATTAAAAAATAGGGGATATACAGCACACATTTTAAGCATGAAAAGTTGACCTATTTTCATTGGCACCACACATTAACGCACTTCTACTGGTTGAGTACTTCGAGACTTGCAAGGAGGTGTCTAGAGAGTCTGGGATGAAATCTAGAAGCTTACACTGAAATATATGTGTAAATATGTGGGGGGGGGGGGGGGAGGAGGAGGAGGAGGAGTAGTGTGGTGTCGTTGTCTCAAATGTCTAAAAATGAGCAATTTGTAGGCTTTGTTTCTGCAAGACAATCATGTTTGTGATCCTGTGTATGTATCCAAAGGACTGTTTTTAATATAAGGCCCAAATAGAGACACTTTTATTATTGGATCAAGATTTTAAAATGTTTTTGTTTGGTCGCTGGCCTGCAGATGTACCATATAAAGTTTCGTGGGCATTGGTAAATTTAAAAATAAGCTTAAAAATGTTTACTGCGGACAGACGAAAGTGAACCAGCTATAGCTGACTGCTTTTTTATATCATGACCCCCACACCTTCAGTTATTTTGATTGTTTCTGACACCTAAATGGAGATATAATCAAGGTTTTACACTGTGAGTTTTGATATTCTGCCCCCCCCTCCCCCCATCCCCCAAAAGACCTAGGCTACATTTTTCTGTTATAGTTATAGAGCTTGTGGTTAATATTGTGAGGAAAACACACAACTGATTATTATAGCCCAGACCTGTCCCAAGTACGAAATCCTTGTCAGTATAGGAGGCCTAGTGTTTAGTCTGTTACGCCGGATCAGTTCACTTAAGAAATCAAAGGAGTGCTATGATGTTGTTCCCAGGATCAAGTAATCAAGTAAAGAATCGAAAGAGATGAAGAACGGGTTACCTAGCTCTCTTGCGGTATCGTTCAGTGCAAGGCAAATGGGATAAAATCTCACCATTTTGATTTCCGAGTATCACGCATCAACAATTACTGAAATAATTCAGAATGTCCTACGTAGGGGTAGATCTATGCTTCTTGGTCAAAGCTAAATTTTAAAGTAGTTTTCGCTGTATTCAAGAACTTTCTCCATGGGTAACAAAGTTATGGTTCAGTTAAAAGATATTGCTCAGAAGACGTTGTTGTGTAGTCGAGATCGGTCCTCATTCTTGGTTGAAAATCGTCGTTGCCCCCGATATGTAAACAGCCGGCTTCGTGGAGCACATGGTGGAAATCTATAATTAGTAGCTCCACGTGGGTTTGTTGTTGTTATTGAAAAGAAGCAAAACCCTGCGATTGGCTGCGTCCTGGGCTTGGGACTAAATATTCATAAGATTACCACATGCCCCAGAACCACACTCAGCCAATCAACGTCGCGCCCCACCATCATTGATATCTCGCGCGCACTGTGGTGGCGTAGATCTTTCTTCTCAAATAGTTGATCAACGTTTTTGTGAAGTTATTCGGTTTATTCCTAAAATATTGGAAACATAAATCATCATGTCGACCGGCCTTGGGAAAAGATTAGAACTGGAAATGAGAGGGCAGCCTGCCGACCAGGTAAGACTGAGATTTTGATTTTTCACTTGGCATAACTTGTAGCTCGTGTGAAGTTAGCCACGACAGTCCTTACTTCCCAAGTCCAAGCATGGGGCAAGGGACCTCGTAATGCTATCGTAAAGCACGGCCATCCTCTTATTATACAGTATGTATTTGTTAGTTAGGTGTGTGTCTGTCGTGAAATGAAATGTTTTCTCAATTTGAAAAGTGAGATTTCATTGCAGAAATACAAACACGACGCACTGATGCCGTACTCAGTCTAAACATGGCGCCCTTTTGAACTGTTTGTTGTTGACTCCCTTCAGTTTTGCTACTTCGCTGTCTTGTTTGCAATTGGTTCTTGTTTCCATTTTTTCAACAGATCTACCGTTTTATATCTAAGTCATAGTTATTCAAATCTTTATTTAATATCTTGTCCTTCGGACATTCGTTTTAACTGTCACCCTTAACTTAGATTCTAGATTTAGTCCTTGAAATTGCATGTGATGGGGTCTCAGTGACGATGTCAATCAGTCGGTCGTGGAATGAAAATGTCGATCCTCAATTTTTGTTCTCTCCAAGACCGAGGCCTGTTCCCTCTCTTTAGATACATTTTATTCATGGTAACATTATCAGTATATTTCATTTAGTATTTTTTCTTCAAAGAAATTCCACCCGCCTCTTGTGCGAGCCCAATCTAGCAAGATATTCCCCACCGAAAGCCCCCACCGACAGTTTGTCGATAGGCTGACTGGCTTTGAGGAAGGGGAGATCAGCGTGTTTTCACCGACCGCCATTCCATCTCGGCAGCGTCGAGTGTGACAGCCGCACTTTCTGCGCCATCTTGAAAGAAGACGAAATTGGATTTAGTTCGCCACATGATGGCTTTTCACCCTAGAATTCACTGTTTGAGTTTTCGTAAAGCATCTAGCGCTCTATGTGAGAACGCAGAATTTCACGAGAATGTTGCGTATCTTCAGAAGAGGTATTGCTGTTTTCCGTTATTGTTCGGTTATGGCCTCGCTTCTTCCGCCATGTTGCGCTCCTCAAAATTGGGGTCATGGCGCATGGGATAAAGAGTCTAAAGGAAGACTATCGTAATTCGAGCAAAGAAAATCGGGCTCTGGCCAGCTGTAATTGTACCCATTGTGCATATAAAGAATTTTGTCATGTGCCATATGTTTATTTAACTTGCATATATGATTGTAGATCGAGGTGGCCACGCAAGAGTTGAAAATGAAAGGGAAGGATGTCTTCTGCTCTTTTATGCCACCCTGCAACCGGTACTCTTGGTACTCTTATGACATTCACACCGGCACCGGCCGAGGCTAGCTAGGCCTGGGATCTGCCGGCCGTTTGTCCAAGATGTGAAATAAATAGGCTAGCACATGCATAGTGTCTCGAGGCCCCATGCCTTTGCTGTCTGGTTAGTTTGCCCCCCAAAGCATGCATATATTTCATACCTTTTCTTTTCAAGGCCAACATTACATGGTCAATTTTGATTAAACACATGCTACAAGTTCAAGGATTTCTTGGTGGTAAATGCGAAATTATTTTCACTCCCGCATGCAGATGCACTGTTTAGAGGCGTATAATCGACACACATTCAACCTCCGAAATTGTCGCACAGTTGTTATGAAAATCCAAACTTTATTTTCAATGTGTTTAGATATAAACATAAAATGGGGAAATGCTGGGGGCATGACCCTTGAAGCATTCCCACCCCACCCCCTCAGTTTTTTACAACAGGTTTGGGGAGGGTGTCCTCACGGTCACCTCAAATTTAATCACACATGCCATATTTGGCCTAGTTTTTGTAATAAAGTCCATATTTATTACACCTTAAATCCTAAAATCAGGATTTGATTCTTGTTTATGCATGCTGAAGAATTTTTTATTCCCAGAATAATGATTCTTTACTTTTGCTGCAGCTCAATAAATAGAAAAGTTATGGAACTGTTGAATTTCTGAAAAAATATCAGATGGGACTAATTGAAAAAAGTCGTTTATTTTTTTAGTATAAGGATAGAATCCTCTAAATCACACCTAATAGTCTTACTCCTAAGCCACTAGGCTAGGGCAAATGGAACTGATTAAAGACAGATTCAAAACCAGAAAAATTTAAGTTTCCCTGAAAAAAATGTGAAAATTTAATTTGGTCCTTTACGTACTGAAGATAAGAAGTGTTACGAGAGAGTAGCAAACACATGACATGTAAGGAGGGGGGGAGATTAAGGTGACAGATGATTGATAGGAAAAGAGGAGCAAACCACACCAGAGCGAGCACCCACAGATTTAAAGTTGAAATTTGTGTAAAGCAGATAAAAATTAAAAAGAAATGTGCTGTATGTTACCTCTGTATATGATACTGGATGGGGAGCTATTCATCCAGCAGTGATCATCAAATTGGCATTTTTTAGTGAAGGAAGAGGTTCCTACCAATTTCTGCATCTTAATTTATTTACTAACGGGAATACCTCTTGAGTTGACATATTATCGAGACATCCTTTAAAAAAATTAACTACTGTTTCTCTATGGTCTCTTTTCAGATTGTTGACTTGAATCTGGACAACTGCAGAGCCAACAAAATCGAAGGTTTGACCAGCAACTTCACCAACCTACAGACCCTTAGTCTCATCAACCTCGGTTTACAAAGCTTAGAGAATTTCCCCAAGCTTGGAAATTTGAGAAAGGTTAGTGTAATGCTTTGATGCTTATGAACCAGTGTGTGTTGTGGTGATGATCTGTGATGATTCATATTGTGCATAGAGTTGGAAGGATGTATCATCAGCTGATGTTTTAAAAAAAAGTTTTAGTAGAGGTTTTACAGCGCTCACAACTGCATAAGGTCATATGAGCACCAAGGGGTGGATGTCAACAGAGAAGTCCTTACAGGGAATCAGACTTTCTCTGCTCACCTCTCTAGCTTCAACAGCACAAAGTCTGCTTCGACTATCAAGGCGCCCTGGAAGTAGCAGGTCACAAGAGTGTGACAAACATACAAAAGAAGTAGAGGAAAATGACGATAGTAAGGATTAGGAAAGGAAAAGCAGCAATTCCCTGTTGTAGTTCAGGCAGTTATGAGCATGATATTGTTAGATCATCCCATTTTCAATTCTAATGTGCATTGGAACGAGAAGTGTCTCCCCCCCCCCCCCCCTGTGGGAATGGTCTAAAGACACTTCAAGTCAGTGACACCGCCCCAGGGGGTTGGTTCATCTGATGTGTTCAAAGAAAATGATGGTGAAACAGGTTTTGTTTGAAAGATTTGTTCTAGACTTTATTATAGAAATTCATGAATTAAGGTTGTAGTTGTGGGGAATGTACTCCCAGAGAAAAATGTATAAAAGAGCCTTTAGACAAATTGATGGTCTTAGTTCATTTCTTCTGAGCAACTGGCATTTAGTGCACACTGAGTTGTGTTTATAGTGATCCCTGGCTATAATGGAACCGGAGGGGCTGACGTGATTTATCTGTTAGACTGGGGATCATGTTAACATACACAATAATTAATGGAATTGTTTTTATTACTTAAATTATACTGAACCATCTATTTGTCAGTAAATGCTCCTTTTTTTTCCCTGCTGATATTATTTGCTGTTCATCCTTTTCCTTTTTCTTGTACCGTAGCTTAATTATGATCTCCGTACTAGAAGTATTCTAAAAGGTGAAGAATACAATCCCGGGGGTAAAAAATGACCCCAGGACGTACAGATAGGGTTAATATATTTTATGATAGAATGTAATTTTCAATAAGTTTATAAACACATTATCCTCGGTGAGCTGTAGGTGTAGCATGAGCGCATTGATAAAAGTTTTGTTGAAAACTGTAAAAATAGAATCAAATTCGGTATCAAGTATCCAGATAAATAAAATACGTAGAGTTACTTTTTTTCTCGCTGGATTCAGAAATATCACCAAAAATGTTCTTACCAGGGTTGTATTTTCTTATCAGAAATAGGGAGCCGGAGACCTGTGGCATAGTATTTTTTCCCTACTTTTCTGCTTTGATCTGTGGGAAGCACTGAGAGGACTTTCAAGTGATCAGATATGGTGGGCAAGCATACAATATTGATATTGGGTTAAAGAGCAAATGATGCAGTGTGGTAGTTGCTGAGTGGCTTGGCTTAACGCCTAGTAAATCAAAATATTTAGCTGCATTATTGGAACAGTAAATGAAGTACCGAGAACTAAGATTGAATTTTTATTTTTTTGTATCCCCCCTGTTTGTTGACTTGGCTGCGTCAACTTAAAATTTGTTATTTTATCTTTCAGTTGGAACTGAGCGACAACAAAATTGCTGGAGGTTTGGATTACTTAACAGGCTGCCCAAACATCACACATCTCAGTTTGAGTGGGAACAAGATTAAAGATTTTGATGTTTTGGACCCCTTGGTAAGTTAAGCTATATTTTTTTGATATCTTATGTTTTAGTGTAGCTGGGGTTTCGAGTCCAATGAATCTTTTAGTAGATTGTTTCCAAATGTTTTTTATTCCCCTGCTGTTAATTTGTTTAGCAATGCCAATGAAAATTTAATTTTTCACTTAAGCCCTTTTTATTTGGTACATAAGAAAGAATTTTCAATTCTAAGAATTATGCTTCTTGAATTTTAAGAATCGGTTCATAAATAAAAAAGTTATGGGGTTGTAAAGGTCGGCAAAATATGGATGACCCACATATAGGAAAATACTCCTAAAAAGTGGACAACGCAGTAGCAGATTCTGTAAGAAAATAGACGATATCTCGGTAACTATTCGGAGTGTTAGAGAGAAACTTGGCTACCTGATGTGTTTTTGGGTGTAGAATTCATTTCTGCAGTCAAATTTATTAACCATTTCGTAGTTATTTTGTTATAATTAAAATTATGGTGTACATATTACGATTTTGCGAAAAAGGGGTGTTGGGATGAGTCCATTTTATTTATAGCATCGTATCACAACATGGGATCTTTAAGAATATGTTGGCAGCGTGACTGAATAATTGCAAAGCTTTTTATGATGACTTTAGACCATGCCAACCGTAAAAGATAAGTTAATTCAATCTAGCATGCCGTACAATTAAAAATTCTTTTCCCCTGTTGAGACGCGAACAGCCCGAGACGAGATAACCCCGCCTCGGAATACCCCCGTTGCGATGTTACAGGGGAAAAACAACCGGATGCGCGCGTCCGCCATTGCCCTATTTCAAGTGACCACTGAACAGGCCCGGAATAGTTATGCAGTGATTTGTAGGTCACATACATTTGCCGCGAGAGTGAGGGGAAAATGGCCGGTCTCCGTGTGAAGCCGCTTTGGATAGGGGGGTGTCGTAGATTTACGATCGGGTCTAAACAACTACTTGACACAGAACGTTCAAATTTGAGCACCCTATAGAGGATAGATAGATCTATTACCATCTCGGTGTTGAAATACAAACTCCTTATATATAGTTTTCGGTGTACCCGATATGAAAGTGTTCCCTACACCAAAAGTATAGGTTAATTTATGTGTACGAACTTCAACGTCCACATATCATTAGTTTGCCCTATTTTCTGATTGGTTGCCGAGTTTCATTCGGATTGGTTCGGAAATAGAGCAGACCGAGGTTGATAAAGTTTAGTCACCTACGCTTCGGCCGGGTCCGCAAAATCACCCGCAAACGGGGACCAAATTTTCGCTGCGCGGGAAAGCCCGTTTGGCATTGCTACTGTGTTGGAGGGTGGCTGCGCCTATGTAACAGACTTGCTAATGTGTTTATGTATAAGGCATAAGTGTTTTGAAAATTTTTTCTATTAAGTGGTTGGTAATATGAAGAAAAAGAAGGAGAAAAGGCTTTTTTCACGTATTTTCATGTGTGCATGGTTTTTTTTAATGTCAACAGAAAGACTTGCACTTCCTCAAGAGCTTGGATCTGTTCAACTGTGAAGTGACCAATGTGCCCGAATACAGAGAAAAGGTCTTTGACAAGCTCAAGCAACTGGTCTTCCTTGATGGTTTTGACAGGGAGGAGAAGGAACAAGAGGATGTGGATGGTAGGGACAGGAGAGATGGGGGGTTATTTTAAAAAAAAATTGAATAGACTAGTGTTGTCTCTGTGCTGTGTGTAAATAGATGAAGTGACAAGGGTACTTGTGTATGGTGACTGAAGTTTGTTAAATGAATCTTGACAAAATAGTCTGTGCACCTCTTGGGTCTGGTTGGTTGGCATGCACTGTTGTGCCTCCGTGTATGGGGTTTTATGCACTGATTTTGTCTAAGTAACTACTATGCGTGATATGTAACTGTGCTCTCTGGTTGATTGTGTTACACATCAGAAAATTGTGCGACTGGTTTCTTGTAACGGATGACACTTTTTTGTCTTGGCTGAATAGGGAAGTTACCTCCCCTTTGGTCAGCCACCTTTGAGCTCATGGTGGCAACATTGGCTTCATCTGCAGTTAGTGTTGCTTGCTATCTTGGGCTTTTTTCTTAAAACGGCTCCCAATACAATTAAAACTGTTTTACTACTACATCATTTTTCTCCTGGGCATAATTTCTTCTGTGGGCTGGCACCTGTTGAGTTCATACATTTAGTTCTGTCCACTGATCTTCATATTCCTTCTGCAAAGTGTAATTTTTTATATATCATATGTACAAATTTGACAGGTTAAAAAAAAAAAAGAAAGATTATTTCCAGATATAAACATGGATATTGTTAAAAGAAAGTCTGGACTGGAAAATGTGGAGTATTTTTAGTTGGGACACTAGAGCCAATGTTGCGTGTGTAGTAATGAGGAAAATGCTGAGATGATGTTCTGGCTTGTAGTGAATAAGTATCATCATCATCTGGTGCCTTACTGACTGGCGTGGGCGATAATGGACCTCCACTTCACTCTTTCTTGAATGAGTATAGATGAAGTAAAAATTAAGTCACATGTTATATTCCATGAAGGGTAAAAGCTTTAGGATACCAGTAGGGGGACATTTCCTGCCTTGTTATCATAGACCCTGAAGTCCTGAAAATTTCCTGTTTTGAAGAATTCCAGTTTGCACATCAAGCTATTAGTTTGGTTCCTATCTGCGCTTAAGCTAATGTATTCTCAGATCTTGAAATCCTGAACAAGTGCAAGATGTAGCGGAAGGAAGCAGTGGAAGGCTGACTTGTTCTGTTCATCCTCTTCCTTTCATAGAGAGATGTTGCCTGGTTACGTACTTGCTATTGGGGGTGGGGGGCTGTTGTGTGTGTCTATTACATATTTTCCCCCTGGCCTGCAATGAATCAAATTAGTGTCTGCAGTTACTCATTGAAACTTTGGTTTCTGTGTTTTCTTTTCTGCAGGTGAGGAAGATGATGATGAGGATGATGGTAAGTTGTTTTCTTTTTTGTGTGTTTGTGAGGGGGGGTGTCATCTCTACTTTACTTTTTCGATCCACCGGCCATTTTGAGTTCTAGCCCTTCGGCCTGAATCATCTCAATTTTTGTGGCCTCTGTTCTTGAGGTGTTTCTCTGTGGACCAAACTTTTGCTAAAGTCTTGTTGACTCTGAGAGTCAGGGGCCATTATATTTATATGAATCAGTTACTTTTTTACATGTATGATGTATCTTTCTTATAGGTCATATGGAATACTTGAATAACCGAATTTCTTGGTCTCGCTTGTTTTTGTAAGTGAATTGTTATACTGGAGTCTGTGATGGTGTAATACATTGCAGCTCATTAGTCTCTCTCTACACCCCCCGCCCCCCCCCTTTTTTTGTTGTTGTTGTTGCCAGCAGGGCACTAGCAGAAACATAACATTAAACAGCAGTGAATGATTTGATTCTGTTGTTATTGATGGGCCTGTATTGGAACAATCTTTGTGTACTGCTGGAGTGACCTGTGTTGTACTTAACTGCTTCTTATTTGGTAAAATATGTTTTTTTAGTTTCTCCCCATGTGCTTTTGGGTTCAGTTTGTTTACCAACAACTATTTTCCTTTTTCTTTTCCAGACGAAAACGACGTAGATGATGAAGATGATGATGACGACGACGAGGATGAGGTTGGTCTGTCATACCTGACAAAGAACATTGATGTTAGTTCTCAAAATGACAGCATTAAAAACTATTCCTTTTTGCATCAAGGCTCATTGAATTTGGACTTTGTTTGAACAAATTGGAATTCTTGTTCACCCGAATTTATCGTTCCTAAAACGCTCAACTTTGAATTAGATACAGCAGTCCTAACATCAGAGAGTGTAGTTTTAAAAAGTAGTTCTGAAAGGTCTTAAAAGATTTTCCAAAAGGTAAAGCGGGGATGCATATCATTTTTGAAATAATAAGACAAAAGAAATTGCTTTTTGGCCAAATGTTGACTCTGTTTATTTGGCGTGATGAGTCTAGCACTGGGCTATGAGTCATGTGATTCCAGAGTGCTCCACTGAATGCCAAGAGAATCAATGTTCTTATAGTGTGTTGATCTCGACCACCGTTTTGTAGTATGAGAAAGTTGCAAAACCTTTTAAATATGCGAGTATAAATGGGAGAGTAGCCTGTAAAGTCGCCCCCCCCTGTGTGTGTGTGTGTGGGGGGGGGGGGGGGGGGAAATAACATGGTATATTGTTTGATCTGGGGAAGACACATATGTATGTTTTGTATTGAGTGGCACAGTTGGTCAAGATCAGGCGATGGGGATTTGTACGGGTGGGGACAAGTTTATTAGTTTCTGTAGGTGAACCTGGTTGTCTTGGACACTGTCCTTATAATGGAAACTAGTTTTTTAAAAGAAATGGGGGGGGGGGGAGGGGGGGGAGAGGTCATTTGGACGGGGCAGTTGCAGCAGGGTCTTCTTCCTGAATACAAACCAGGACCAGGAAAACACAAGTTAAAAAAAGACTCTTTTCCGCCAAATGACCATTGTCCGTGGCTCCTTGGATTTGCCGTTGTAAATTGTTTCATTTACTTGACAATATGGTAGCCACCTTGCGAACGCTGTTCTGAGCCTTGGTTGCAATTTGGGGTACTGGATGTTGTATACTAACCAGTGGTCTTGTGATTCATGATTTATTATGCCTTTGTTTATGACTATTATGGTTTCTTTTTTCTTTTTCCATCTATGTTTTGATATACTGGTTCATCATATTCGATAAATGCTGGAAGATTTGATTTGGACATAATTTGTTTACCATTTTTTATTAAAAGAGAAACTAGTTTAGTGTTTTCCCCCCTCCCTTTCAAAGAAAACCTTTTTACAAGAATGTTATGATTGTAATAGGAGTTAAATATGCGGGGTGTTAGGAGATTTGTGATGAGAAGAGTTTGCTACCTTTTTACAAGAGTGTTTTAATTGTAATAGGAGTTAAATATGCTGGGGGTTAGATTTATCTTGAGAAGAGTTTGCTTTGCTCTTTGGTTGATTTTCTTTCTCTTACTTTGTTTTGGTTTTCTTTTCTCTTTGGCTAGTCAAGTCGTTTTTGCAGTTGTCTTTTACTGATCAAGCAGTATTGGTGTCACATTTGAGAGGATGATGGCACTTGACTCAATTTTAGAGTTGTGTTAGAAGTTTTTAACTTGAAAGTGCTCCTTTCTAGACTGAAATTTGATTTTCATCAGTGGTTATTGAACCTACTGTAATGGTTTTTGTCTTTGAAGTGCATTCCAAGTTTCAGAAGACTGACGTTTTTGTAGTATAAGCTCTTGATTTGTTTATGAAATACAGTTGTGTATTTTTACTCATTTATGGAGCATTTGACCAGTTAGTGTTACGTTCTTCACAATGTTTTTTTTTTGTATTTCAGTGAAACGCACATTATACCTGTTTTCTCTCTTTCTCTTCATACTGCTGTTTTGGTAAAGCGTTCCGATTTCATGCTCCCTATTTGCTTTTCCGCAGGACGATGAGGAAGACGAGGAGGACTATGATCCAGATGATGTTGATGATGAAGATGCTGATGAGAAAGTGGTAGAGGGAGATGATGATGATGATGATGACGATGATGAAGATGAGGATGGAGCTGAAGATGGAGGTGAGTACATCTTCAAAAGCAAGTAGAGTGAATGTTTCCTCAAGATACCCTGTTGGAGTTCCTTTTTGAAAGGATGCCAGTGTAATTTTTTATTGATATTTTCTGTATCTGTGGACACTTTCTAATTTTTTTTTGTAGGAGTGAGGTTAGGAAAATCAGCTCAAGGGGTGTTGGTCTTACTTCTTTCTTTCTGTCTCCCTGTGTTTTTTCCCCTGCTCTGAATGACTGTAAATTTGTCGATGTGCTTCTGTGTGCTGAAAGAAAAGTCTGAAAAGTCTTAGGGATTCTGAAACTTCTGGAGTAGTGGTATGATGAGTCAGCACTGGGCTATGATCTTGTGTGATTCCTGCGTGCTACACTGACCCATGTGCTCTCTGAAAGATGTGTGCAAATCTCAAAATGTTATATGTACGTGAAGGACTTGGTTGCTTTTTTTGTCCTGTAGTTGTTTGGTGTTAAGGTCATCAGTTTGATGCTCTATTGTTTGTAGGGGTGACTGTCTTGGACAGCCGGTTCCACTGTTTTTACAAGCTGTATTCCTTTGTCAGGACAGTTGAATGTTGAGACAGCTGGATGAGAAATAAAGTTGAAAAGTTTTGTAGATGTTTTAAAAAAAAAATTTATGAAAACAAATATTAGAGTAGTGAGAGAGCACCTGGGTGAAAATGGGAGAAAGGTTATACAGCGGAGTTTGCTTAAACCGAATGTGTTTAATCCGAAATCAGGGGTAAATCGACATGAATTAAAAAACCCAGTTTATCTACTTCTATTTGAGAAACTTCTTTTATCGTAAAGCGGACTTAAACCAGAAAAACTCTGGTGGTAGTTAGGCAGATTTTGGTTTTAGTGGACTCCCTGCAGTAGGCTACTCTTAAAAAGTTGCTCATCAGGAAAGGAAACCCTCAAAAACAAAGATTCTTTTGGAAGTGTAATTTTGAGACCGATTAGGTTTGCGTAGTGTACAGACATGATGAGTCAGCACTGGGCTATGATACTTTGTGATTCCAACGTGCGACACTGATTTCTGTGAATTGGCTCATTTGCTGCTACCAACTCCCCTTATGAAAGTTTCTCTTTACTTTTCTTGAGATGTTTTGTAAACAGTTACAGGATGCTGGAATAGTTAATTTTCCCTTGTGCTTTCTGTCCGTCTTGCTCTTTCGTTTTCTATCCAGCAGTTTACTGTTTTCTTCTTGTTCATCTCTAAATGGACGTTCCAATCTCTAGTGTAAATGCTGCTGATTGCTGTAGGTCTTCCAGGCTCCTGTACATTGTTTCTGTACCAGAGAATTATTCTATTCTAATAATGATCATTTCTATAGCGCCCGCTCCCGTGTAAACACAGCTTTAGGCGCTTTACATAAATGCATGTATGAACAGTATTCACCCCCGCGACACACACACACACTCTTTCACACATTTCTACCGTCAATCATGATTTTAAATTGGTAGTTTTTTTTGTTTCTGTGTTGACAAACATGATGAGTCAGCACTGGGCTATGATTCTTTGTGATTCCAACGTGCGACACTGATTTCTGTTAATAATATTATGAGTGCTAGGTTTTATTTTGCATTGGGAATATTTGGTGGGTGACTCAGGGTGGCCTTCATGTGATGTGATCTCTCCCATGCTTCTGTTCAGTGTGTCTTTCTTTATAAATATCGTACAGGTCAAAGGATCAGCAGGAAAATTTGCTCGGGTACAGGGACCAACTCTCCTTCCAGCAGAAGTTTCTCTCTACTTTCTTTAAATGTTTAGTTAGCAGTTACAGGGGGCTGGAGTAGTTTATCTTCCCCTCTTGCTCTTTGTGTCTGTTTGGCCCTTTAATATCCTGTCCAGCAGTTAACTTTCTTCATCTCGTTCATGTCTTAACAGATGACCAGAATCTTTGGTGTATAGGCTGCTATTGGCTGAAGGGTCCTGTACATTGTTTTTATATCGGGAAAAGAATGATTCTATTATACAGTTGAGCATGATTATGAAATTGTAGTTTCAAGATGTTCTTTGTTTTTGTGTTGTGGACAGACATGATGAGTCAGCACTGGGCTATGATCCTTTGTGATTCCAACGTGCGACACTGACTTCTGTGAATAATATGAGTGCTAGGGCTTATTTTGCATTGGGAATATTTGGTGTGGTGTTTCAGGGTGGTCATGTGTTTTTATTTTTTATATATTCCTTTCATGCTTCTGTTCAGTGTGTTCTTTATAAATATTATCCTGGTCAAAGGATTAGCTGGAGTACTGGCTCGGGGATGGGGGATCAACTGTCCTTCCAGCAAAAGTTTCTCTCTATTTTCTTGAAATGCATTGTTAGCAGTTGCAGGATGCTGGAATAGTTTTTTTCCCCCCCTCTGTGCTTTCTATCTCTTGGGCTCTTTTTTGTACTGCAGACAAAAAGTTTTTTTCCCCCTCTGTGCTTTCTATCTCTTGGGCCCTTACTTTCCTGTACTGCAGACAAAAAGTTTTTCCCCCCTCTGTGCTTTCTATCTCTTGGGCCCTTACTTTCTGCTTTCCTGTCCTGTAGTTTCACTGTTTTCTTCTCGTTCACCTCTAAAGGGATAACCGAGTCTATAGTGTAAAGGCTGCTGTTTGCTGTAGGTCCTACAGGTTCCTGTTAAGCTAATCCTTCCAAGATTTATTTTCAGTTCGTTTGTTTGATGCTTTGTTGTAGGTAGTGTCTTTGCTGGGTTGTAGGTGATGTCTTTGCTGGGTTGTTGGTGTCTTGTGTTCAGGGCTGTGGCTTTCTTAGTCTGTGTGAGACCGTTCAAAGTAGGATGGAATGGAAAATGAGAAAAAAATGGTTTTAAAAGTAATTTAGATTGGGGTTAGATGGAGCAGTGAGAAAATAGTGGGTGGTTGGCGGGTGCTCTGGTGTGGTTTGCTTCTTTTTTCCCATTAAACATCTGTCGTCTTTATCTCCTCCCCTTCTTTTTTTGTGTTTGTTACACTGTTGTAACACCTCTAATCTTCTGGCGATCATATGACCTGAGCAGTTGCGAACGCCGTAAAACCTCTACTCAAACTAGAACTAAGTGAGAAAATTGTGGAGTGAAGGGGAAAGGGGAATCTTTACTGTACATTGTTTCTATTCCGGGAAATGAATTATTGTATTTCACAAAGTTGGGCGGGATTATGAAATAGAAGATTCTGGATGTTCTTTGTTTTTGTGCTGTATACGGACATGATGAGTCAGCACTGGGCTATGATCCTTTGTGATTCCAACGTGCGACACTGACTTCTGTAAATGATATCATCATCATTGCCTTTCTCACCCTGGATCAGGATATAGGCCATGAACAAACCCTTTCCACCTTTCTCTGTCCCTGTACATCCATTTCCGGTGGGTGGTTAGCGGGTGATCTGTTATGGTTTGCTTCTTCTTTCCTATGAAACGTTTTATCGTCTTTATCTCCCCTCCTTCTTTTTCGTGTTTGTTACTCTCTTGTAACACCTCTAATCTTCGGAATTTTTTATGACCTTATTTTGTTGTAAAACACTTACTAAAACTAAAAACTCGTTTCCGTGACTCTTCTCCAGGTTCCACGTGGTCTGTCCCTTGATCTTTTACCCTATGGGTTTCAATCTAAAACTTTTCTTGTTATGCAGCTGCTTGACTTCCTGAGAGTGTCCAATCCATCGCCAATCCATCGCCAACGCCCTCTTCCCGCCTCATCTCTGACTAGGCTCTGTCTCGTTCTTGATACTTCCTCGTTGGGGACTCTGTATGTCCATATGAACCTCAGTAGCTTCCTTGACTCTTGTTCAAGAAAACCTGGATCCTCTTTGTGCAAGTCTGGAATGCGTTCCATATCTCACGTCCATACAGCAAGACTGACTTCACATTTGAGTTGGAAAATCCTCATATAAATAACATGGGTGCTAGGTTTTCCTTCTGCATTGGGAATATTTGGTGGGTGGTTCATGGTGGCCTTCATGTGTTGCTTTTGGACAGAAAAGGACCATCCATATTGTGAATTTTAAAGTCAAGATTCATATTTTCTTAATTATTGATTACTAAAAGGTTGTGTGATGAGTTGACAGCCCTGGTTTAGTGTTAACTGCCAGGAGCAGTGAAATGTATTGAGTGAACTTGTGATTTATTAGTGACTTTTGGAAAATATTTTAGAGAGTTGTCCTTGTTTTTGTATTTTGAAACCACAAAAAAGTCAATGCATAAGCAGTGTTGGTTTTTGAGGTACCCCGACTGTTCACATTACTAGCTTTTTTCTCTTTTCTCTTTCAGAAGATGACGATGGTGATGATGATGAGGAAGGCGAGGAGGATGAAGACGCCGATGAGAGTGCTGCCCGTGGCACCAAGCGGAAGCATGAAGAGGAAGAAGAGGGAGATGAGGATGATGATGCGTAGTCGGCAGCTGCTTGTGGACACTGTAAATGAGTTGTACCTTTGTGTAGTTCGGTGCGTGCGTCAGTGTGTGTTTGTGAGAAGTGGCTGTGTGTGTCAGAGTCTGTTTGATGTGTGAGAGAGAGAAAGGATGCATGTCGGGTGAGGTTCTCAATATGCTCACAGGAGGTTTGGTGTGCAAGAAAGTAAGCGAGTCTTGTGGGGTCAGATCATATCTTGAGCACTATAGCAAGTGTCAGGCCCTTGGGGGGGCACTGAGTAGACAAAAGGTCCAGAACAATTTGTTTTTGCAGATAAAAAAAAATTTCACCTCTCTCTATTGTAAATATCGTATGCTTTTTGAGGGCTGTATTGGCTCCATTTGCTTTTGATGCGATGGCTAATCTACATCTACGCATGATGTAAAGCAAACTGTTCGATGCTTGTAGTCTGCAAAAATGCTCCAATGTTGAGAATCTCGGGCTTGTCTGTTTTGCAGTATTCCTGGGTCATCTTCAGAGGGCAAAAAAAAAAAGTGTTGAGAAAACCATTTTTGCTTGCGCAATAATGGTGTCGACCTATTTCAGCCTCATTCTTTTGAACCGCCCCTGCTTCCCACTTGTATTTCAAGCTACAGCAGTGATGTTGAAATTGACACATTTTTCACTTGTATGGCAACGACAAAAATGCTTTGGGAGTTTGGTTTTATTTTGTTTTTTTGGGGGGGGGGGGGGGGGGGTGAATGACTAAAAAACATGCTCGTTTTGTTTTCCCTCATACACTAGAATTATGTTGAGTTTTTTGGAAATTTTGTTCAAAGGGCGTTTAGCATTTTATGCAGGTTTTCCTTTGTTTTTGTCCTGAAAATAGTATTTGTCTATCCAGATGCAAGTTGAGGCATTATTCATGCATTGCGTGTTTGTCATGGGTGGGATGGGGGTGGGAATCCCAACTCTGGGTTTGCTTTCGTGTTCATAGAAGCTGTCTGGATGAGCAAGCTTATTCTGAAAGAATCATGTTCATGGAAATATTTTCTATTAGAGCACTTTCCACTTCTCTTTCTCTATCCTCTGCTTCTTCCCGTGAACTATTAATGACATCAGTATTTCAATACAAATAGTCCCACACAAACCAACTCTCATGCGCCCAATGGAGAACTTCCATGTCGTAAAATAAAGGTTGAAATTCTTAACCCGTGTGTTATATGTTTGTCCTACCTTTCATCTAATCCAGTCCAAACATCTACAGCAAATATTGAAGCGTAGCGTAGCGCTCTCATATTTTAGCGTAGGTCTTCAGTGTTCATGTGCAAGTTTGTCACCATGAACGTGTGGATTTGTGCCTGCTCTGCTAGTGCGTGTGTCTGCGAGCGCGACTGATGTATGAAAAAGGACGAGAGAGAGAGAGAGTGAAAGAGAGACTGAATGGGTCATTCAAAGGGAAACAAGTGCTGCTACCAGTTCATCAAATTTTATAAAAACTTTTTCCTTTTAACTATTCTTTTGATCATCGTCATAATTCGCCATTGTCTCATATCATTATTCTCATACCTCTCCTTCCATGCAATAAGCATTCAAAAAGTTTTTCCCCCCATCTCATCATTTCCATGTTATTGGACAAATAAAAATTCATTCATACGATTTGTAGATGCCTTTTCTTTGGTTGTTTCTAAAATTTTGTTTTGTTTTGGATATGGGAGAAAAAAATAGTTTTCCCTGTCCGGTGATGTAAGTGATTGGTGGGTGTTTGACTTGTCTTTGGTATGTGAGGTGTTGCTGTTGTACTTTAGTCTTGCTGAGGTGGATGGTTGGTGGGTGCTCTGATGTGGTTTGCTTCTTTCCCCTTTTTTGTGTTTGTTAGGGGGCTCTCGTGGCCTAGAGGTTAAGGTGTTGGCCTCTCATTCAAAGGTCCCGGGTTCGAATCCGGGTTGCGAGCGAAAAATTTTCTTCTCTAAAATTGTCTCATTTCACCTCCTTTCCTGCTCTCTAGCAATGTTCTGATGTCTGCTTTCATTTCCACTTTCTGCCCCCACCCCCTCACCTCCTTTGCCCCCTCCTCTGGGCTCCTGACTCTTTCTGCAGCCTTTCTACTGCTACCCCTTGGCTCCTCCTTACTGCTGTCTTTCTGCCACACCCCTGATCTGGTGAGAAAGATCTACACCTAGCCTTCTCGGACAAGGGCGAAAAACTCGGAGGGCCCGTGTGCAAGTTGCGCACGTTAAAGATCCCTTGGTGGTCTAAAATCGATAAGAGTAGGCTTCGGCTGGGCAAAATTCAAAATTTCCTACCAACTGAAAATACATGTATTAGGTGTGTCCCGCGCGCTCATATGACCTTATGCAGCTGCGAACGCCGTAAAACTTGCCATTTAAAAAAAATGTGTTGCTCTCTTGTAACACCTAAACTTCGGCACTTAATGACTTGTGTTGCAAGTGCAGTAAAACACATTGTGGACTTTGGGTGTCTGTGGACTGCCTGTCCACCCTGAGAAGAGGCCATTGAGGATCTATTTATTTTATAGGTCCAGAAGGACAAGTACAAGGGGTTTCCATGAGACTGGAAAGACTTAACTGCCCTGTGGTGACTGTGTAGTGTAATTCGGGTTGGGTTCATGTTGCCCATTCCCCCGCCACCAACGGCTACTGGCTATAGTTGTCTATTCAGTATTCTTGCATGAGGTTTCAGTTTCAGCCAAGTGGGAAAGCCATTGGATCATCACGTTCTGGGTCGTTATGCTTTTATTAAGAGGTCCACGGTCAGAAGGGAAGTTTGGCATTTCGTTTGGTCCATCTACTGCACCCAGACATTCTCAAACTGGCTGGTAATGGTATCTTCTCCACCACAGAGGGTGTGTTGATAAAGCTGTCCCCTCGGTTTTATGCCCCCCCCCCCCCAATAAAAAAAAAACAAAAAAAAAAAAAAAAAAAAAAAACCCCAATAAAAAAAATTGAAATTATGTAAACAGCCCAAAATTGTGATATATGTGATTCTGTTAAAAATTACATTAATTTTAACAAAGTATGATAAAGGAAAATAATAAATTATGCAAAAATGATCACATTTTGCTAAATTATGCGGGGTGCATGAAACAGCCGGGGACAGGTAAAGAGAGTAGTAGAGATGTTAGGCAGATTAGACACCCACTCAAGGGAGAGTAGGGGTGTGTTAGTGAGGAGCATAGCGTCTATCACACTTGACACTCGGTGAATTCTGCCTCTGCACCTTATGTCAGTTATGGGACCACACCTGCTCCCATCCTCTAGTGAGTACCGTTAGAAAAATAGACGCATACTTGAAAAGCTTTGGCACTACAGGTTAAAGAACCAGCAGTTGACATCCCTGTGTTATTTTATAGTACCGTATAACTCCTTTTCCTTTCAAACATCTTCGTCCTTGTCTATCCCTTTTTGTGGTAGTTACTCTCCCTTCTCTGGGCCCCTGACTCCTTTTGCAGCCTTTCTACTGCAGCACTGCTACTCCATGGCTCCTTACTGTTGTCTTTCAGCCACACCCCTGATCTTATAGTAGGAGTAGGAAAGTTCCATTCCTAGCCTTCTGGGGCAAGGGCGAAAAATCTCGGAGGTCCCGTGTGCAAATTGCGCACGTAAAAGATCCCTTGGTGGTCCAAAATCGATAAAAGGCTTCAGCCCCCAACCGGTCAAATTTCAAAATATCCTACCTACTGAAAAATGTAAAATGTGTCCGCGCTTAAATGACCTTATGCAGTTGCGAGCGCCGTAAAACACTTGTTTTACTTACATAGCCTACCTACCTACTGTGTTTTCTACCTCATCAACGATTACAAATCGGGAGTCTATGGTGCTGCAGTTGGTTGCCTCGCAGTTCCATTCACATGCAGAGGACACAAGTTCGATTTCAGTGTGGGGAGCATCCAATGACTATCTCAGTTCTCAGTCTTTGAAACCTTCTGCTGTCTTTCACTTTCAGCCACACCCCTGATCCTAAGGGTAGAAGAAATGGTCTAACTGACTTAACACTCAGCCTTTTTAGAGTTAGAGGGCGAACAATCTCTGACTCTGAGGTCATAATATATGTGCAAGTTGTTCACGTTTTTTGGTCCAAGAATCGATACGATTGAAGACTACTAGTAGTACTTTACTAGTAGTAGTATCCGTCTTGGCCCAGGTTGACCTGAACATGCAGTGTAGAAGTGGCCCGTCTCCTATTATCTCAATTCCAGATAAGTAAGGGATGTAAAACGTTTACAGCGGGTGGTTGGAGGGCGCCACTGGTAGTCGGTAGGTCTTACTTCTTTTGGTTGTTTTTGTAAAGTGTTTTACGGCGCTCTCAACTGCATAAGGTCATATGAGCGCGCGGGACAAACCTAATATTTTCAGATTTTGCCCGGGTGGCGGCCGAAGCCTACTCTTATCCATTTTATACCACCAAGGGATCTTTAACATGCGCAACTTGCACAGGGGCCCTCCGAGATTTTTCGCCCTTGTCCGAGAAGGCTAGGTGTAGATCTTTCCTATCTGAAGATCAGGGGTGTGGCAGAAAGACAGCAGTAAGGAGGAGCCAAGGAGTAGCAGTAGAAAGGCTGCAGAAAGAGTCAGGAGCCCAGAGGAGGGGGCAAAGGAGGTGAGGGGGTGTGGGCAGAAAGTGGAAATGAAAGCAGACGACAGAACATTGCTAGAGAGCAGGAAAGAAGTTGAAAGGAGACAAGTTTTTAGAGAAGAAAATTTTTCCGTCGCTACCCGGATTCGAACCCGGGACCTTTGAATGAGAGGCCAACACCTTAACCTCTAGGCCACGAGAGCCCCCCCCCCCCCCCTACTTCTTTACTTTCCCTATGTATTGTATCTGTCTGAGTGGCTGGTTGGTAGGTCCTACTTCTTTACTTTCCGTCTATTGTGTCTGTCTGTGTGGGTGGTTGGAGGGCGCCACTTGTAGGCTACATCCTACATGTACTTCTTTACTACTTTCCCTCTGTTGATTCTGTCTGACTTGCGGTACTTTTCTGCGATTTCTCAGCTCTGCCAAATGGTCATTATTGTGTCGATTTGCTTATCTTTAAACTTAAACAAACGTACAACACGTTTACAAAGATACAAACTACTCAACGACGATCAAGGTGTGGATTCGAGGGTGGTTGGCGGGTGCCCTGGTGTGGTTTGCTTCTTCTTTATATCAAACACCTATCGTCCTTATCTCACCTCCTTTTTTATGTTTGTTACTCTCTTGTAACAACTCTAATCTTCGGCACTTACATGACCTTATTGTGTTGCAAGTGCAGTAAAACTCTTACTAAAACAAAAGGTGTTGATTTCCCCTCTTTCTCACAAGAATGACTGATCGTGCTGAGAGACTGACTGAATGAGAGGGGCTGGAGTGTGCCTCTCGGCGCAGCTCACTAACCATCGGGAACGGACACTCACCACAGTCGCAGCTCACCACAATACATTTATATATGTATACTTATAATATAATAAATAAAGACAATAGGGAACGTACACTCGCAGCTCACTACAATGTACATGTCCGTTCCCGATTGTTTTTATTATACATTGTAGTGAGCTGCAAGTGTCCGTTCCCGATTGTTTTTATTATACACTGTAGTGAGCAGCAAGTGTCCGTTCCCGATTGTTTGTATTATACATTGTAGTGAGCTGCAAGAGTCCGTTCCCGATTGTTTTTTTATTTATACATTGTAGTTGTAGTGAGCTGCAAGTGTCCGTTCCCGATTGTTTTTATTAAACATTTTAATTGTAGTAAACCACCAATAAAAACAATCGGGAACGTACATTCGCAGCTCCACGACAATGTATAATATAAAAAATAGACGAGCTGAGGGAAAAAACAACGGTAGTTACAAACTGGAAATTGTGAGGGAGCCAATTTAAAAAACTTGTGGACTCATAACTTCATATATTTGTTTGACTGGTGGTTTATTAAGTGTTGTTGAATGGGAAATCTAACCACAATAATCAACCAACAGTTGAACAGAAATACAGTTATGAGTCAACAAGCGTTCAAAATTGGTACACTCACGATTTTCAGTTTGTGACTACCGTCGTTCTACCCAAGCAGTCTTCATTATTGGGAACGGACAAATTAGGTAGTTTCTGGGACACTTAATTATTAGTTACAATCCATCCCCGGAAAGACAGGACTCGGCTATAAAATTATCTCTCCCCGTGGTTTTATGCACCCCGCATAATTTTTAGCAAAATTTAATCATTTTTTTGGGTGCATATTTTTAAAATTATTTCCTTCATCATTCTATGATCAAATTAACAGAATCGCATAATTTCACATTTTTGGGCTCAGTTTGCATAATTTCAGATTTTTTATGTGCTTAAAAAAACCGCGGGGCTAGTTCAGTTAGTAGCCGGGGACCAGTCGGCTTGTGCTTCAGTGTATGCCATGTTTTACTTTTGAACTGTTTTCTCCCCTTTGTACTTTAACTTACTTTAAGAAAGAGTATGAAACAATCTAAGGGACGTAACCAAGCTGAAATGTCAACAAACACTTATTTACAGAATAGTTCCCCTTGACCTTTTATTTAGAAAAACTGAACAAATTCACCCCTAGTACATCCTATTTACCTATGAACTTCTCGCATAATTACATGAAATTGAATAAAAAATAATTCGTTTAGAAAAATTTTTCGGGAGTGTAC